GTGTACCGCGCTCGGGTCACTTTGACCAGGTGGTCGTCAGAGGCTCGATGCGTGTCATCTGGTCCCTCTTGGGTAAGGGGACTGGCCAGGTTGATCGGGTCACAGTGGCTACACGGGCCAGGTGCCCCGCCTGGTCGTCGTGGGTGTTCCAGGGCCCCGACCTCATTGAGTCGGAGGCTTGAGTCGGCATTTTTGTTTGAGTCGGGTGTCGCTATTTGAGCTGAGGCTGCGGGGAGGGACACGATTGCGGATTTCGGGCCTGTTCAGCTGAGGTGAACGTTGAGCCTTCTTGACTTTCCAGCCGCACGGAGGTACGTACTAGGTGTTGCTGTCGTCGTGCCTTGACAGCCCCCATTTTTGTGTGAACGTGTCCGGCCGCGCAGCCGAGTGCTCCCCGCTCTGGTTGCGCCTGTTCTCTGTAGTTCTTCTTGTCTTGGCGGTAATCCTGGGATTCCCCCATCCTCGCTCTCCCTTTATCGCCCCCTCGGCCGCCCCGCAAATCCCCACGAACCTGGCACCGTACGTGCATTGCCAGGTGTGGCGGCCCGTCCTCCCATCCCACCGTCATCGAGGGGATGCGAAGTCCCTAAAGACGGGGCGAGGTGTGCACGAACGGGCATCATAGCTGGCTCAAATTCAAAAGAGGCATCGTAGTGTCACCGTTCATCTTACAGTCAACCGTCATAGTAAGGATGGGCAACCTTCCAAAGGGTACCCTTGCATCCTTGCCTCCTCCTCGGCCCATCCTTGGCCACTTTCGTTGGCCGCGCCCCGCTCGAAAAGCTTCGAAGTGGGCGTCCATCCTTATCGCGCATCTTTATGATACGGGCCGACTGTATCGGGCGGCAGGGGGTGGGGTTCACATGGTGGCTGTCTGCCTTCACCCTCCTTCCCACTCTGGCTCCAACTCCGCACCCGTGTCAACCTCTCAGGCTCCAGCTCCCGTTTTCCGACTCCCGCTGCCCTTGCAGCTCGCTCGGAGGATGAAAAAATACCCATGCGTCTACCCTTCCCTCCCCCTTTGGGGCCTCCTGGGCAGCCCTCGTCGCCACCGCTGGATTCGCCTCGAGATCCCGGTCAGAACGCACCCCAGGAGAGGTCCAGGGAGCAGATTCATCGGTATCTTTTGGTTTCCCCTTTCGCCTTCCACTGCTTCGCCCAAGGAGTTCACCACCCACCAAACCACCCCAACCCAACCCGAAGGCCCAAATTTGCCCTCGATTTCCAGTGGGGGGGGGGTCGGGAAACGTCGAAAAAACACGCGTGGAACCCTTACCCCCCCCAACCCGAAATTCGGGTCTTCGGGTTGGGTTGGGGTGGTCTGGTAGGTAGTCAGCCTGTTGGTCGAACTCGCACCTCGTTTGCTGAGGTTCCTGCCTCCACGCCATCCCCCAGTGGGCACGGGCGGGCTCCCTCGCAGAGCGCGCACGACTCCAGCGTTCCTCCCGTCTCGTTGCCTCTCGTCCCCTCCTCTGGAGGCCTCGAGGTTCGCACCAACACCGATATCGGCCCTTCACCGAGGGAAGGTGCCTCCGACCTCGGTGACGGTGGTAAGCTTCGGGCTTCCTAGGTGGCCGAAAGATTAGCACCGACACCAGCATCCAGGATCGTCTTCCTCCCGCGGAGGCAACCCCTAGTGCTGGTGTTGGTGCCCATTTCCAAGCCTCCAACTCCTCCTCTTCCACCCCTCGGAGAACGCCAAGTATACGTTGGTGTTGGTGCCCATTTCTTGAACTCCTCCGCTTTCACCCCTCGGAGAACGTCAAGTACACACCAAGGCCGATGCGGGCCATGCCGAGCCTGGGCCCTGCATCTGTGCATACATTCGTTAAATCGGGCGTGTCCCTCTACAGGAAAAATATCCCAAAGTAGTCCAAACATAGTCTGGGGACGACTTTATGATTATTTTTTATATAATGTTTGCGAATTTGTGATGTCGTATTTTTCGAAAGTCCCCCTGTCGGAGGACATGCCCGACCTAACACCAAGGCTGACTCTGGCCATGCCGAGCCTGGGCCCTGCACCTGTGCACACACTCGCCCTCCCGCTCAGGACGCCAGGAGGGCGCAGCCACCGATCCTCACCACCCTGCTCCTCCCTGCCAGCCTCGAGCTGATGTCTATCGCTGAGATCGAGGAGGAGGAGGAGGAGGAGGAGGAGGGAGGAGGAGGAGGAGGAGGAGGAGGAGGAGGAGGAGGGGGAGGAGGGGAGGAGGAGGAGGAGGAGGAGGAGGAGGAGGAGGAGGAGGAGGAGGAGGAGGCCCGAGACGATCGTCAATCGCAGGGGTGCCCCCCTCAGAAGTCCGCGTGAGTCCTCGAGGTCGACGCCGAGCCCAGGCACTGCCCACTGGTGGTGGTGGGGACCTGCTTCCGGCTGGAAGTTCCCGCCTCCCCGGTGGACCTGGCCGGGCGGCCAGGGTTGTGACATACTCTCCCGGAGCGTCCCCCGGACAGCTCTCCGAGCGCTCCAGACCGCGCTGAAGCGGCCGCGGCCCACGACCCATCACCGCCAGATCTCAGAGATCACCGACGCGTCAACGTCCAGTGGCGTTTTGGTTTTGGTGCTGTGTCTGTCGGGTGTTTTCGGGCTTGATGGATGCTTTTCAGGGCGGTTGCCAGCACAAGGTTTAGGTCGGGCGTGCCCCCCACCCCCCCCCCCACGGGCGCATTTGGACGACAACTAAAACATCGTCAAGACGTCAAAAACATAATGCTAGAAACATCATCCCCAGACTATTTTTGACTATTTTGGAATGTTTCTCCTGTAGAGGGACCGGCCCGACTCAACCCAAAGGGTGTGTCGACCCTTGGAGCTCTACAGTCGGGGCGCTGAAGAAGGAACCCTTTTCGTTGGGGAGGGGCTCGGTGTTCCTTGATTGTTGTGCAATTTGCCTTAGGTTTCCCTGAGGTTTGCCATGGGAAATCGAAATGAACGTTTTGGAAAAAGGGGCATCGCTCCCTATTTGGGGTTCCTTAGGTCAACGCCCCGACTGTACCGACAGTTCCGCGGCCCGTGTCGGCCCTCGCCGCGTCGCCTGCGTCGTGCGGAGGGGGCTTCGGCGGACGAGCACCCGCGGCCGCCGGCGTCGGGCGGCGAGGTCTGTGCGTAAGTCGGGCCTGTCCCTCTACAGGGGGCATGCTCAAAATGTTTAGCAATGTTTGCATTTTTTCATTATATATATATATATATATATATGATTGATTTTTTTTTTTTCTGGGGAGGGGGGGGGGGCATTTTTTGCATTTTTGCAGTTCTCTGTACGGGGACGATTGTTTGATTATGTGTTTGGCTATTTTTGAATTTATTTGGGCTATTTTACCTAACAGCGAAGACTGATAGGTTTCTAATGGTCTCAACAGAGAGCATCATGACTCCCCAGGGGGGTCCGGGCAGGATCCGGGGAGAATCCGCAAAAGCCGTTTTAAGCAAACAGTTACACACTTCGTGGTCTTCGAGGTCCCAGAACTCCATTTCCGGGCCACATTTTCAATGCCCGGAGCCAATTGTAGGCCACTTCGTGCTCTTCGAGTTCCCAGAATTCCATTCCCGGGCCACATTTTCAATGCCCGGAGCCAACTGTAGGCCACTTCGTGCTCTTCGAGTTCCCAGCATTTTATTCCCGGGCCACATTTTGAATGCCCGGAGCCAATTGTAGGCCACTTCGTGCTCTTCGAGTTCCCAGAACTCTATTCCCGGGCCACATTTTCAATGCCCGGAGCCAACTGTAGGCCATTTCGTGCTCTTCGAGTTCCCAGAACTCTATTCCCGGGCCACATTTTCAATGCCCGGAGCCAACTGTGGGAGGAGCAGGGGCAAGAGCACGAGGAGGAGGAGGACGAGCAAGACGAGGAGGACGAGAACGAGCACGAGGAGGAGGAGGAGGAGGAGGAGCAGGAGAAGGAGGACGAGCAGGAGGAGGAGGAGGAGGAGGAGGAGGAGGAGGAGGAGGAGGACGAGGACTCCTACATGCGAGGACGAGCAGGAGGACGAGCGACTGCGAGGACACCAGAATTCTGCACCAGGACTCCTACATGAATCTCAAGGGCAATGCTTCTACACATCGCTGTTAGGTTGCTTTGCCGGGATAATTTTCATTTTTCGTCCAAAATCTGCCTGCAGGGGGACACGCCCGACCAGAGTCTATTCCCATCCACCGCCGCTGGCCGGGCCCTCCCTGGGCCCGCGAGCGTTGTGCACGCCTCCCTGGCCGAGCCGCGGCAGGGTGGCGTACACACCGCTCCTGGGCCCAGCATGGGCTCGGGCAGCGGCGGTGGCTGTGTAGAGAGCGCGTCTCGGGAGCCCTGCGGCGGGGGCCACTGCGCCAACGGGGGTCGGTCGGAGCGCCGAGATCGCGCAGGATCCCGCAGAGCCAGGGGCGCATCGACCCAGGTCTGGGCCAGCGGGACTTTGCAGGACCTTCTGCAGGACCTTCTGCAGGGTCCTGCAAACTCCTGTTGGCCCGGGCCAGAAGCTCCCCGAGCGTCTTGGGCGTTGCGTAACGGGGGGATCGTAAATGGGGGGGTGGCGAGGGTGGTCCGGAAAGGTACCCAAACGGTACCGAAACGAGCCCCCTGGGGCTCCGGAGGGGCCCGAAAGGGGCACGAAAGGGGACCGCTTCTGACCCCCCCGTTTATGACCCCCCCCGTTAGGTCACGCCCGAGCGTCGCCCCAGAGCACGCCCTGGGGATCGTCGGAGCGAGCCCCCCGTGCGCAGGGCGTGCTGGCGGTGGCCGCCATGCGCTCCGGGCTGCCCATCCTCCACGTCGGGGCGGCCTCGGCACGGCGGGGGGGGGGCGGTGGGGCCGGGCGAAAGGGGGGGATTGGGAAAGGGGGGGTTACGATATTTGCTGTATGCAGCTGGTTTCGGCCTCACCGAGGGGCCCACTCCTCGATGCATAGCCGCCTCCGGCGCCGGGAGGTGCCAGGAAAAAGCAGCTACGTAAGCTGATTCTCCCCCCCCCCCCCCTTTTGCTATCCCCCCCTTTCGCCCGACCCGAGGCGGGCGGCGGAGGGTGCAGGGGCGAGTCGACTGAGCCCAAGTCGGGCATGCCCCCCTACAGGAGGAACATGCAAAACTGGTATGGGGCCGACTCTTCGGTTCTCTTTTGGCTATGCTCGCACACTTGTTTGGGGCTGGGTTCTAGTTGTCCGCCGAGCTCCGCCTGTAGGAGGACATGCCCGACCTAAGACTACGCGTAAGAGTGACCCTTCGCTGGAGTGACCTGGCGTGCGGGCCCACCAGAGTCCTCCAGCTGCTGAGCGCGATGCGATAGCATTGGCTTGCGCGCTCGGGTTTGGCCCCCGCGGTGCTCCCTTACAGCTGCGCACCAACGGTCCCTCTTGCCTAGGGTCACTCCTTGCGTGTGGCCGAGCGAGGACGGGATGCCCTCTCGCTCGGGTGCCGTCGACGCTCCGCAAGGGGAGCCTCGCAGAAAAAGCACAGGCTGAGCATAACTTGGCGGAACTCCGCACGTATTTCCTGGGCCGGTGTTGGGCCCCCCTGGCGGCGCCTTCGGCGCCGCCCCTGGCGCGCTCCTCGCGCCAGGGAGGGGGGGTCCAGCGCCCATCCAAGGAGTCCCACCCAGCGCGCCTCTGAGAAACTGCGCTTGTGTAGTCCGTGGCTTCTCGAGAAGGAAGCTGCCGATGATCCTGAACAACATGCGCATTCGACTGGCCCCCGAGCCTACTTAGGGAGGAGGAGGGAGGAGGAGGGAGGAGAAGGGAGG